TGTCATCCCACAATTCCTCTGGTTTTTGGTCATTGGTGTTCAAGGCATCAAATCTATTCTTTAGATGGTCTCTAAATTCAGGAGGGATATAATGAAGGTCTTGTTTTGGTCTCGTGGACTTGTTTTAATTGTCTTCAACTTCAAGTTGAACTTGCATATGAGCAGCTGATGGTTTGTTCCACAATCAGCTCCTGGCCTGGTTTTGGCTCCTGCCACAGATATAGTCCATCTGATTCCTATGTACTCCATCTAGCAAAGTCCATGTATATAGCCACTGTTGGTGTTGTTGAAAAAGGTATTTTCAATGAATAAGTCATTGGTCTTGCAAAATTCTATTATGAGATCTCTAGTGTTTTTCTACTCCCAAGGCCATATTCTCCAACTACCAGTGATTCTTCTTTGTTTCCAACTTTTGCATTCCAATCACCAGTGATAAGCAACACATCTTGATTGCATGTTTGGTCAATTTCAGACTGCATTAGTTGGTAAAAATCTTCAATTTCCTCATCTTTGGCTTTGGTGGTTGGTACGTAAATCTGAATAATAGTAGTATTAATGGGTCTTCCTTGTAGGCGTATAGATATCATCCTTTAACTGACAGCACTGTACTTCAGCACAGATCTTGAAACATTCTTTGTGATGATGAATGCCATGCCATTCCTCTTCAATTTGTCATTCCCAGCATAGTAGATCATATGGTTGGCTGGTTCAGAATTACCAAAACCAGTCCATTTCAGCTCACTAATGCCTAGGATATCAATCTTTATGCGTTCCATTTCATTTTGACAACTTCCAATTTTCCTAGACTCATATTTTGTACATTCCATGTTCTGATTATGAATGGATGTTTGTACCTGTTTCTTCTCATTTTGAGTTGTGCCACATCAGCAAATGGAAGTCCTGAAAGCTCTACTTTATCCATATCATTAAGGTCGGCTCTACTCTGATGAGGCAGCTCTTTCCCAGTCGCATTTTGAGTGCCTTCCAACCTGAGGGGCTCATTTTCAAGCTCTGTATTTGGACAGTGTTTCAGGGCTATTCATAAAGTTTTCCAGTAATATATCAGAGAGTGCTTCACTGCTATTCATAAGGTTTTCACTGGCCAATTCCTTGAGAAGTGGATGGCCTCCTCCTTCTTGCAAGTCTGTCTCAGTCTAGAAGCTCCACTAAAACCCATCCAACATGGGCAACCCTGCTGGCGTTGGAAACTGGTAGCACAGCCTCCAGCCTCACAACAACATGCAAGCCACCACAGTATGACAAACTGACAGACAAGTTCATCTCCCTTAGCTGTTCCAAACCTTTCTGCTCACTTCCTGTCCTTCCTCCTACCTGTTCTAGTTCCATGATATATGTATACGTATAGGCTTACAAAGGAACTGCGTGGATTGTCCAGATGGTGAGCATGCAAAAAATGCTTTTATATTTTCTAGAGCTGCAGAAAAATGGAGATTTTCCAGGGCAGTTCAAGAGACCTCACCTGGAAGCAGTCAATCGGGGGCTCCACCGTGCTGTGAGAAAGAGCCGTGATTCATGGAAGAACAGGTGGCCACGAGAAAGGAGAGAGATCCAGCAAGAAGTGATGAGCAAGTGCAGTAGGGAGCGTGGGAGGCACGGGTGTCATGAAGCGGACGAGGACTTCCCCAGGGGCCCCAAACCACCACAGAAGCCTCACCAGTCCTTTCGCCGCTCATCCCATCACCACAGGCCCAAAGGGAGGCTGGCCACGGAGGGCAAGTGAGGGAAACATAAGGGAAAGGAGGCCGGCCTGGGAGATGGTGACCACGCTGGTTCATTTCTTATTTAGCAGAGGGGAGTAAGGTGTAAGCACAGACAGCGTCTGCTGGGCTTTCCAGGGCCCATTTGGTCTTCACGTCTGTAGCACTCTGGTAGCGGTTTTATCATCTGTTATAAATAAAATGAGTTTTTTTTTGGTTTTGTTTTTAAGTCTGAGTCACGTGGAGTTGCTGAACAAAGACCACAGAGGTCTTGGGTCTCTCGTGTCCAGCAGGTTTGAGGTAGGAGAGCAGAAAGGGGAGCCCAGATCGCCCTGCTCCAGCATATCGTTGTCAGTCAGAACCCTAGGAATATGAAGAATTAATCTTTTCAAGAAAACTTCTCAAGAATTTTTTGGAAAAGAAAGGCTCATCCAACAAAATGTGTCTACATCGTAGGTAGGTGTGTGGGTAAAACCTCAAGGGACAAGGACACACAGAAGAAAACTCATCCGTCCTTTTCAGCATTACTGTTTCTTTTCCCAGCATTGGAAAGGATGATAGTTCTACTAAATCAGAGTCCAGCTTTTCTTGCTCCCGAAGCTGTGTCAGAAGCTTCCAGTGCTTAGAGAGCCATAGGCTGACGGAAGTGCAGGGCTGTCATCACTGCGGCCTGAGGAGGCAGGCAGTTGGGAGACAGCAAAATAAAAGTAGGAACCCATTCTGTGTAAATGTCACAAAGCACGTGTCCTGAAGCAAGCGACAGAGGCCATCCAGCATGTTAATGTGATCACAGGAAAAGTGTTCTTACCCTCTCCAGACGCCTGTCAAAAAGACTGCCACTCAGATACACAGAGATAAGTACTGGCCGGCTTTAAGAGAAAAAGTAATCTGTGTTCATGGGCTTTTTTTAAACCACCACAAAGCCAGACAGGATTTTTCATACTTGTGAATCTTTTGTACATATCAAAGGATAAAGTTAGAATAAGAAAGATGAAATGTCTGAAATAGAGTAAACCAATGTGGCTGTTACGTGAGGAGAAAATGAGACTTTGAGTGCTGTGGCAAAACATACGTGGGCTGGGGAGGTGGCTGCAGTTACAAAATACCCACAGACAAGGGGCACAAATGCCGTGCTGCCGCACCCAGGCACTCTGGCCGAGGCAAGTGGGGTGGAACTAGTTAACAGTTCAGAATCTTGGGTTCCCAGTGGTGATTTACTCTTTGGAAAGTGGACAGAGTGCTGACTGTCTGATAGGATCAGCTCCCTCATCTTGTTTGGGAGGAACAGGGAATCGCCTCCTCCCAGACCCACTTTCGAGGCAGCTGTAGGTCCACAGTGTCCCCCACTTGTCCCATTGCTCCTTAGCTTTCAGCTGAGTTTACGGGCTGTACTCTGTTGGTACGTGACTTCCTACCATCAGCTGGGAGTTGATTCTGTGGTGTACAATCAAAACCCTTCTAACACCCTAGTAAAAGTGGCAGCCATGAAGGACTTCATAGTCATAAGCTGTGAGATAATTGGCGTCATTCTTCAGTCGGGCCTGGGACAGCAGTGGCGTTTTAATGATGTGGTCTAGCTAGCGCCCATCTGCTCTTCTGGGCCAGAAGCGAGCCTGCCACTGTCAGCGTCTGTGGTACACAGACAATTCGAGGTGGCGGAGAACGGATGCACACATAAGCAGCATTAGCTAAAGCGGTTGGTTTTTGTTTGTTTCTGCACGTTAGCTTTTATTCCCAAAAACTTGAGTTGTTTTTATTAGACCAGTGTTTTATTCTGGGGTGTAATTTACCCTCCGTTCTGTGCACTTGGCTGTAGGTAGGCAAGGGGGCTAGAGCAGGGGGGAGGGAAGAGGACCCTGGCTCTTACACCAAGTGTCCAGTTGAAGTTAGGTCATCAGTTCATTAGTTAGCGAGTTAGTTTATTCACACACTAACTCCTGCTGTACACAACTGGGGGGATTAAAAGAACAAATTCGACAGTGACTCAAGACTTTAAAGGAAAAAAATACGACCAAGAAAAGCAAAGGAGCTCTGGTAGCATAGCAGCTAAGGCACTTGACTGCTAACCAGAAGGCTGGCGGTTCAGACCCACCAGCCACTCCTTGGAAGGAAGATGGGGCAATCTGCTTCCGTAGTGATACCACCTTGGCAACCCAAGGAGGGGTTGCTATGAGTCGGGTCTGACTCGATGGCACGTAACAACAACAACAACATGAAAAGTGAAGATCCAAACAGTGACCATCTGCCTGGTTGCTGGGCCTGGGCAGACTCTGGCCACCTATTACCTCTGGCCTCACCCTGCTGGGAGCAGCCAGAGGGCCCTTCCTGGTTCCGCTGTGGTTCACCTGCCATTCCTAGAGGAGCGTGGAGAGAAACCGCCTCCCGTGCTCAGTGGGGATCCTTGTCACGGGTCTTGCTATTAGCAAAACCTGTTACTTCAGAACCAGGGGGTTAACGGTGCCCGTTCCAAACCAAAAAGCCAAACTCACTGCCATGGAATGCATTCTGACTCATAGTGACCCCCACTGGGTTTCCAAGGCTGTCAGTCTTAATGGAAGCAGACTGCCTCATCTTTCTCCCACAGAGCAGCTGGTGGGTATCAAACCCCATACTCCCCTGAGTCATTTGCACCTCCCCGACGATGTTTGAGAGTGTTCCTCTTCCCACTCCCACAACAGGGGATGTTACTCCTTTTTCTCTTTGCCACTTGGATGGGCACAGAAACATTGTTCATTAGTACTGCAGTGAGGAGATCGGTGTAGGGTAGACTTGGGTAAAGAGAAGGCATTAGCAGGATAGCGATAATCTGTAGATGAAAGATAAGAGAAGCTTGTCACTGGAAACTTTTCTGCCAACAAAGGATTAGTACAACCTAAGAACCCTTCCTCCTTCTAGCGTCTTGCGCCCCGATGGGATCGTTCTGAGTTTTCACGGCTCGGAGGGTGCTGCTGACATCAAGCCAGGCGTGCGGCTCCCGTCCTGCCCAGGGCGGTGCCCCACAGCAGAGTTCTCCAACCAAAATGTCCTAGTGCTGAAGTGAAGGGGCCCTACTCGAAAGCCCCACCCGTTTCTCCAGTCCTGCCCGGGAAGAGGGGAGCACTCCCTGAATTGGGGGAGCAGGGCCAGGAGTGCCGAGGGCCCCGGTGGCCCGGTGCAGGCGTTAGGGCTGCACGGCTCCCTGGAGTCTTCAGCTGAGTGCTGATGCCACGTGTGTGAGGAAACCACCTGAAAGAGGAGCTATTTGTGGAGCTCACACAGGGTCAAGCGCCGTCCTCCTGCCAGCCAGAACGGAAACCCTCATCATTCACGGGACGCTGGCTACAGGACTCAAAAGAGTTTTGCCTTAGTGATGAAGAAAAGACAAGATCTAAACCCTGCTGTGGTTCAAATGTCTATTGATAGAATGAAGAGCCAAAGGCCCCAATGCCATTCTGTGCATGATGTCACCAAAATGGGGGCGGATAAGGCCTTAGCTGACTGGGCTGGGAGGCCGCACCTCCACATGTTGTTGTTGTTATGTGCCGTGGAGTCGGACCCAACTCATAGCGACCCCTCCTTGGGTTTCCGAGGCAGTATTACTGCAGAAGTAGATTGCCCAACCTTCCTTCCATAGACGGATCTAAAGTGGGCCCTTCCAGAAGGTAGCTTCGTGGCTGGAAAGGGGGTGAGTGTGGGGTTCCCACTGGGGGTCAGCTTGCAGGCGCTCATGCATTTATGCTCTGCCCGGACCCAGCAGATGACAAAACCAGGTCTCTAGATGCATGTCAAGCAGAGCAAGTGGGTGCCCTTACACGTGCTGGGGTGCAGACAGGCCTGTTGTTTCAAAACACGGGCACACCTACATTTTCTTCGAGTTTAAGCCAGGCGGGCTAGTGTATTTCTAATCAAAAGCCACTGTTTTAGGGACCCAGGGGTTTAGTGTTGTCATGTTCTATCAGCCAGGTCTTGCCGTCTTGCCCTCAGAGAGCTTCCATTCCTGGTCAGGGAGAGAAGCCCTGAGGTGATGACAGTCACTCAGGAAGAGGCCTAGGTGCAGGCCTGCACACACACGGGAGAAAGGCACTCAGGGATCAGCGGGGGCAGGGCTGGGAGTGGTGGGGACCCGGGAAAACGTCATGGAGGAGGGGGCCCTTGGAGCATAGGAGAGACTTTGATAGGCCTGGATGTAGAGTGTCTAGGGCACACTAACGGGGTCCAGTGTGCTTTGGGGTGCCCGTGGGTGATGTGGGGGAGCTCAGGGAGGCGGCTGCGGGGAGATCACCGACGGCTCTGAACTCCTCTGTGTCTCAGTCCCATCATCTGGAAAAGGCAGAGAGCATTCTCTTCAGAGAACGGTGAGAACCGAGTTAAACATACAATCCCTCACGGAGCGTCTGAGAGAGATGCCCTATAAACAGTGACTGCTGCACGGCAGTGGGGCAGCCAGGGCAGGATTTCGAGTAGGGAGAAGAAAGGGTGCACGCTTGGAGGCGGATGATCAGCGCTGTGTTAGTGGAAGTGCTCTCGTAACTTGCTTGCTTCCAAGCATGACGTGGCTTTTACCTGCCTTTGCACGGGGAAGCAGTGGGTGGTCTTTATCAAATATGGAAACTGAGCCAGAGACTTGGCCAACTGAAGAAGAATCTTTCTGTTGTCTTTTTTGTTTTCTTAAATACTGAGTTTGGGGTGAAAGTTTACACAGCAGGTTAGGCTCCCACTGGGCCGTCATCACAGTGTTGAGTGACATCAGTCAAATGAATTGCAGTGTGTAAGCATGCTCTCTAGTGGTGCTGTGTTTGTTCCAGGACTCTAGCTTCTGCCTCCTTCTCATCTTGACTCCTGAGTAATTGTTGACCTTTTGGTCTCGCACTGTGGTTTGTAAGCAGAGCACCGACCTGACACGTCATGTCCATTCCGTGTGCCACTCTGCTATTTGGCTAAAAGCTACTCTGAAGTGGAATCTTGACAAAATCCTAATCCCAGGCCTCCCCTGGTAACTCACTGCCGTCGAGTCAGGTCCAACTCACAGCGACCCCTCCTTGGGTTTCCGAGGTGGTATCACTACGGAAGTAGATTGCCCAACCTTCCTTCCGAGGAGTGCCTGGTGGGT